TGTAAATTGGGACTATGACAGAGCGGCTCCAATCGGTTGGGACAGTTTCCTGCTCCTACAGTTTGACTAGTAACTCGTGTAAATTATCCACAAGAGCAGGTCCCCCGAATTTGAAGAGGGCTGGAGGAAGATCATCAGGTCCCGCGGCTTTGTTCAACTTCAACAGTCCGATCTCACGTTCGACTTTTGAGCGAGAGAGTGGATCCAAAGGGACAGTCCAGGGAGCAGGGCGATCAGTGGTCGGTGAGAAATCTAACCATTCCGACCGACTAAATTGCTTTTCAAAATGCTCAGCCCAACGCTCTAAGCGTTTTGATAAGTTGTGGATAGACTGTCCACTCTCGTCACGTATAGTTTCACTAACACCAGGTCTCCTGCTGCCCGTTTCCCGTATCAGACGGAATTACTTACGATGGTTACCAAGGGCAGCGGCCATTTCCATCTCTGATGCACGATGAGACCACCAGCATTCGCGGTCTCTCTTCAGGCTAGCACGAAGTTTTGCCCGGAGCACTTTGCGAGTTTCACTGTGTTCGCTTCCAGCCGGAATATGCCGGCGAGCATCTATAAGTTCCAAAGACTGTGAAGAGACCCAATGTCCATGTTGGCGATTAGACATAGAGCGTATAAATTGGTTACGAACTAATCCGTGATAAGTTCAAGACGTCAGAAAATGCATTAAGAAAGTGCCATAAGCGGAAACATGTTGTGGAATTTAACTAAATCCGTTTAAGGGACGTGTGCAAGTTTATGGAAGATAGTTCAGGCAGACATTAGTATGAGATAAAAAGGCACTGGGATAACATAGCAAAACCACCACCTGAAATAAGGAGACTCAGCATGCGAGCACGCAGTTAGTAACCCGAATGTAGCGTACCTACAAACGCTGCGCCGGTTCTGCCTACCTTCTCTACAGGCCGCGTCATCCTTTCGGTGTTGGCTCCGAGTGGCCTCGCTCATGGCTCACTAGGCGTGCCTGACTCAGGCACTCAAGACCGCACGTGCTACAGTACCATGCGCTCACTGTCGATGGAGTACAACCCATCGGCGCCTGTCGCTTTCGCACTTGCCGCTTCTTCTCTGCATGCACGAGGGCTTTCTCTTACACACCGGCAACGGCCTTTGTGATCAGATCGCGCCATGCACGTCGAGGAACCGCTTTCGATTCCCATGATCTGCAATCAAGTTTAGAACGTGAAAGGATTACTTTGCTCATGTCTTGGTAATGTAACTTCCGTTGCCCCACATGCCGCTCCCCAACACTCAGCTGACCATATAATAGCTGCTTCGGTATCCGCCACACATGCCCGAACCATCTAAGGTGTCTAAGCAAAAGTATGCAGCCCACCGCATACATTACACTTCAGCCCAACACTTCCGTGTCCGCAACTCTGTCACATTAACCGATGCGCAGAATCCGTCGCAGATACTGCTGATGGAACCGCTCGAGATATCGCACATCCCGCCGGTACATCGTTCACGTTCCACTGCCATATAAAAGAACGGACAGCACCATGGATTTGTACACCATCAGCTTCGTGCCAATGCTAAGCTGATGGTTGTTCCGCAGTCTTTACTCTAGCTACTCGAATGCCACCGCTGCCTTCAAAACGCGTATACGCAGCTCACTGTCTAGCTGCTGGTCAGTCGACACCACACTCCCAAGGTAGCAGAAGCGGGAGGTGGTTTCCGATACTTCACCACTAAGGCTGATTTGTGGCAACATTGTAGACTGCACTTGTGTTGATGGTGAGCCCGAATTGGGCCGCGGTCGAAGCCAGAGCACTAGTCATGTTCTGCATCTCATCTGCGCTGTGTGAAAACAACGCACAGTCGTCAGCGAACCGCATCATACGAATAGTTGTCTCAAAGACCAGGGTTCTCGCACCGAAACGACGGATGTTCAGCAACCCACCATCAATGCGGTGCTTCTCTCGAACACCGTAAGCACAAGCGGTATCATAAGCACAAGACATCATGCCATGAAGATAGATGTTAAACAGGGCAGGAACTAAGACACAGCCTTGCTTCACACCAGATACAACTGCAAAGTCATCCGAGGTCTCCCCACTCAGCATCAATCTCACCCGCATGCCACTGTGCAAATATTTAATAAAAGTTTCAATATTAATCGGACGAATAAACATACCCAACACCAGCCACAATGCTTCGCGGTTCACCGTATCAAATGCTTTGGTGAAATCAACAAACAGCGGGTACAACGCCTTTTGTCGTTCTCTACGCTTCTTCGTCCAGTAGTGAGTCGCAAACATTATATAGATGGTGCTGCGACCCAAACGGAATCCACATTGCTCCCCCGCCACGTTAGGTTCCACAACCTGACTGACGAAGCGGTTGAGCGGGATTCGGGTAACCACCTTGCTCACACAACTCAGCAAGTTGATGCCACGGTAATTCGTGCAACATTGCTTGCTTCCTTTGCCCTTGTACAGTGGTAGCACACGCGCATCCTTCAGCTCAGGAGGCACCTCCTCCTCAATCCACACGCGTTACACCAAGTGGTGCAGCGCAGTCACTAACGCGGGTCCGCCGTTTTTCAATACTTCAGGCGGGATCCCGTCAGCCCCGACACACTTGACGTCTCGCAGCTGAGCAAGTGCACTCTGCGTCGCATGCAGTGTCGGCGTGTCCACCAGACTCGCCTTCACATCGTGCTGCTTCAGGCCGTTCGAAGTAGGCTAGTCGATCTGTGAACGGTTATTCAAGGGACAGTCAAAATGTTTCCGCCAGATGTGCATTATGTCTGCAGTCTGAGTGGAGGTAGCGCATGAACTACCATCGATCAGTGTCCTCAGCGGCGCCAACCTCGGTCCATACACCGCCTTCAAGGAGTCAAAGAATTCCTTGTGTTGGCGGCGTTCGGCATAGCAGTCCATCTACCTCGCCTTTTCCGTCCACCATGCATATTTTATGCGACGGAGCTCTCGGGTCAGTCGCCGTCGAAGTTTGCGAAACTGACTCTTCTTCCCCAAGTCACTGGGGTCTGCAACATGTGCAGCAAGTGCTGCATTCTTCTCACACACTAATGCGCCAATCGTCGCATTGTTCACATCAAACCAATCAGGCCGCTTACAGTTTGCGCGCCCGATGGTCTCCTCGGCAGCAGCTGTCACCTGGTCGCGAATGTGGTGCCACAGGTCGCCCACTGTGGCTATGCAGTCCACATCACACAGGCGTGTAGGCATCGCCTTCTCCAGCTCAATACATTTCTCCACAGTACCGAAAGAATGTTAAATTAACGGATTCACGGCAGGAGTGCAATATGGTTGCCGGAATCCGGTTTCGGATTTGCCTGTCACTGTGGCCAGCCACAGGACGCCTGCGCCTACAGAGGGACCATGGATGTAATGGAGTGATATATATATATATATATATATACCAATTTGGAACGAAAATTTTTTCTTATCGTTCATACGCTGATTCTTGTTATTTTCATGTCTGAAGCACCTAACATGTTAATTACACCAAGTTTGCACACAGCACTTCCAGTTGAGGACAATGTCTTCAGGCGTGTCAAGCTATTGACACCACACATTCTTGGGTCCGCATTCGGAAGACGTACAGGTCTAACGGCGGCTAAACTTAACGTCAGTGATTTCATGTGCTGTCGCCAACTGGAAGGATGACCACCAAGCAGTTGCCTCTGGCCCGCAGTGAGGCAAATGCTCAGGTGCCATGCGTAGAACGTGACCAAGCCATCTCAACTGGCGCACAAGAACCAGCTTGTTGAAGAGAATGCTCGCATTCCCCAGGACGCGACGTCTAATGTCACAACTGTGCACTCAATGTTGACACCACACTGAAGGATGCTCCTCAAACAACCGTTGTTGAAAGCGGAAAGATGGCGCAGGAGACACAGTTGTTACTGCGTCGACTGCTGCACTTGCGATTGTTCCAACGACCAGTCCAAAACCAGTTTCACTATCACAGAAGCTGTGTTAGAGCAGCAAGTGGCCAGTTGTCTTCAATGAAAGGAACTTTTTGGATACATGTACAAACGACCTGGATAGTCAAATGAAATGAAATGGCGTCCCTATGTTGTTTAGACGCAACGGAGTCATCATTCCTAAAAGTCGATTGATGTATCTAGAGAACTTGTTAAGTTGGACGGTGCAGCGTAAATCGCTGGCGTAGCTGTTGTTTCGTCGGCCTATTGTAGGTGAGTTCGATTAAGAAAGGATGTGTCTGGAAAGCGTCTTCTTTAAAAATACGCGATACATTGTCAATTGGATAAGAAGAGCATGTTCGTCTGGGTAAAAACAAAGACCTAACCATTATTTTACCATGGGCTAATAAAACATCGCGTTTTTCCACATAGTAATTTCGTTGAAAGAGTGTCCATTGGAATTCGGCTAATTGGCCTTTGCAACTTTACGTACAGAGCGGGATACGGGGAACAGGCACCGCATTCCAACGCGCGCGCTGCACATACCTGAGAAACCAGCCAGCCTATCGACATGGACATCCAGGCGTACCATTGTGCGTGCCTTTGTGTGTGTGTGCGCGCCCAAATGTGGGGAGTAAAAGGCTACTTGAGATAACCCACCGTGTGCGGCACTAGGTACAAGGTAAAAAGAATGAGGAAACGGAAGGAGTTTGGTGGCAATCCACACGCGTACATGCGCCGGCAACGGATGCGTGCCGCACTTACCCAATGGAGACGGTTTCCCTAATGGATCGATTAAAATGTGTAGCGGACTGCATCTGTCTGAATGACGGATGATACACATAGTTCGCTATGAGACTGTTGTTGTACTTCCGTTGAAGCGCGATGAATCCTCGCAAAGAGGGCTTCTCGTGTGTGACGTGTACAAGCCGTATGCACATACAAATACATCCGAACAAACAACTAAACGGTGGAATGGAATGCGGGTAGTGAATGCCCGAGTGCCGGCACGGCAGCACACGCTGTCAGTAGTCTAGGTGCAAAATAACACTGGAGAATGGCTGTGTCAGAAGGAATGGGTGGTATGACTTACCCAAATGTTTGATTCGCAGGAACATGGACTGGTCCATTTTTGCCCGCTGCATTCGCATGTAATTCGATTCTTTCTTGCGCAGTAGACAACGCATTTGGGCCCTAGCCGTTTCATCCAGACCGACCTTGGCCATTTCAGCCTCCAAGCGCTGCCGGCGTTCCTGGCGTTCTCGGTGTATGCGGCCAACATCGGCCATGCGTTGTTCCATAAAGCGACGGTACACAGCCGGGTTGACGGGTTTCACACCCAGAAACCCTGATTGGTACGGTGTGAGGGCAACGGGGCTCGGGTGAGTCGGTGACACAACAATATCATTGTCCACAGCAGGTGGCAACGGTGCTGCCTCCTGTTGGACAGTGAGTGATGGATTCGACGGATCATCTAAGTTCGGAGACTCCGCAACGATGACAGCCTCGTTTGTCTCGGTATTCGACTTTGGGGTCAACTCTTCCGAAACACGCACTACTGAGGGTGAACGAGTCTGATGGAAAAGATGAGACGGAGCAGGATTCATTAGGAGTAAGACAGTAGTTACATGGTCCATCAACACATCAGCTATCGGAAGCAGCCGGGTGGAAAGTAACACAGAATTCCTGAAGTTAACCGACTTAGTGAATCCAGGTGGCAATGCCATGTGTAACTAGCGGTTTGCATTAGCAACCCTACTCTCTGCATCACCTGGTTCTAGAGTAAAATACTAGATTAGCAAAACTGTGTCGTTAGCCAAGAACGGTATGAATATGTCAAAATCTGTATTAGGGTATAGGCGACTCGGCGTGAACAGACAGGGAAGAGGCTCCGTGGTCGTGACACGCTTATGCAATTTGAAGCGTCTAATGAGCACGTGACTGTCCGATAATCTCTATCCCACTAGAAGAGACGTCGGTAGTGCAGAAGTACCAGTGTGGAGTAGTGGATCGAGCCTCTACATAGCACCAACGGACATGAATGATAAAAAAAGCGAAGAGTGAACGAAATCAAATGAATGACGCTAACTGAAAAAGGCTTATGAAAAGCATACACGCGGAACAATGGCATGGTTTTTCGTGTGCATTGCAGATATGCTGTTAACAGCCCCAGATAACAGCATGATATCCTGGCAGAAAGTGATCGAAAATTGGAATGCAGGGACAGAGCTGGACCCGTGAATGTGTAGTTGGTCGCGTTTTCTGCATCTGGTCGCTGCCGCGCTAACAGCAGTGTGTGAAAGCCGCTGTACGACGTACAAGTAACAGGTGGTCAAACGACCGAAGTTTGGCTCACGACGTCATACCTTTCAGCTAATCGCTACTTTCCAGGCGATGTCAGTAGGGTGGTGCACCTCTTACCGCGTGTTTCAAACTATTCGTGCTATATTCGAATTCAAGTGCGAAAATCACAGAAAGCTAAACACAACTAATTACCGTATTGTTCCAGACATGGTGTATAATAATACATATAATGCTATAATAGACGTATAGCGCGTTATGTGCATCATTTCGTAAGTTACCTTTATTAGCGTGTCTCGGTTTATCGAAAATAAACCCTTTATTATATACTTAACGTATGTAGGGTGGTTAACATTTTCGACGACATCAACTCCGGCAAACCCTGATACACCACCGGGTCCATTTGCGTAAGTTGTATTTTGAGAGTAAGCTGGTGGAAACTGGTGACTGTCTAACGCGTCAAATGAGTTGAAGAACAGTGGATTCCATACAGTGGGTATAGAGTGGTTTGATAAGTTTCCAGTCGCGTTTACACCTCCAGAGAATATAACATGACGTTCTATGATACTCTTTCAGATGGCGATACTCGCTACCCAATGTGAAGTATCGTGTCACTAGATGGTAATCATCGTTAACATGCGTATGCGATGTATCGTCCCTGCAAGTGGGCTACACTAACTTGCATTGTACACTCCCAAGGTCTATTCAAGTGTGACCTATTCGATCCAATTCGGTTTCTCAAACATGGTCTGTGCACCAAAGTGTGATGAATCCGGCTGCCATTACACACGTAACGGACGCGCAGTTAATGTGCTCCTTCCCATGTTCACCCAGCGCTTAGTCAAATGGGATTAACCGTATTTAGTGGGCACATTCTTTTGTAACCATCCCTTATGTATCGTGATTCATGTAATCCAAGCTTCATGCCCACACTCACTCGTGAAACCTTCTTGCTCCTTTAACAATTATAGTGAACGCAAAACATTTATGCTTTCGCTAGTTGGTGAAAATGGATTTTATTAGTGCAAGTATCTTCCGACCATTTGTTTTACTCACGGTACATCCCAGTCAATTTCGCATTCTCTGTGAACCATGCGCTACCTTGCATCGTGCTTTTGCTAATCTGCTCCCGGTTCATTGCAGCTATAACATACATCTTGGGTCCAACAACGTTCTCACTTCCGGATGAGCTGTAACTGTAGTGCCGTTACTACTAGTTTACGTCGTAAGCAGTATCTGAAATCCACTCTACAATTGGTGACCACGATTGTAAAATTCATCGCAGCCATTTTGGATTTCGCATCCCGAATCTTGTTGTTTTGTTTTCCTTTTTGTATTGCATGGCAATTCTTCATTATGTCTCACCTTGACGGCAAACATTTCAGCCTGGGCTACAATACTGTTACGGTTCCATACACGTCGTTTATAAGCAGTGACCCGCAGTTTTGGTCTGCATTGTTAGAGTCGGAATTCACTCGCCATAAGATTACATCCTATTCAGTAAACTGCAATCAGCTACTCGCTTACCTGCTTACTAACGTAACTCTACAACTCAGAGACCACTTAATCCACTGCGTTTCTGAGCAGTGTCACGACACTCAAGCAGAGTCGCCTCCTCTGAGGCGACCCGCATTCAGTAGCTATTTCAGATTTTTCTAAAGGGTGACGAGAAGCTTTTCACACTGTTCAGCGAGATGCGCTTGGTACATCATTCACGAAGGAAGCATTGCTGCGCAGTGGTTACAGCGTTTGCCAGAAACAGCGAGTTAACGGCAATTTTCAGGCGATGCTCCTCAGGTCGCCGACACAGTGATGGATAGTTTTCTCTCTTAGCTCAGTCGCGTCGTTCCACCCTTGGCACAACCGCTATGTAATCATAATAATATACTTTTCTCTTGTTGTCCACACTTCACCCCATATGCCCAAGCATCACAAGTTAACAACTGCCTCAGCCGAGTTAGCAGCTTTAGTATCAAGCCTTCGAACAATAACCAACTCCACTCACGCAGCAAATTACCTAGCAGAAACGACCCTGTGGGTAGTGATCAGTACTGCTGGTACCACAGACGCTTTGGTGCGCAGGCCACAAGTTGTACCACACCCTGCACGTTTCATTCGACTCAAAAGGGAAACGCGCAGGCACTGACATAAAGGCGACTAACATCACTGTCCCATCTGGAAGCAGTCGCCTCCTTCATGTTCAGAAGTGCAACTCTAAAATCGCATTCGTGATTGATACCGGGGCTGAAGTAAGCGTGACTCTTCCCGCACCTGGGAATACGACTCAGCCGGTCACTCTCAGCCTTCGTGCCGCCAGTGGCACACTCACCCCTATTTACGGTCAACGATCCTTAATCATTAAGTTAGGTCTCCTTAAAACATTTCTCTGGGTGTTCATTATTGCTGACGTTCCGTTTGTCATCATCGGCATCAACTTCCTCAGACATTTCGATCTCTTGGTCGATGCGGAACCAATGAGGACAGTCGACGTCACAAGCACACTCAGCGTCTCTGGCACCAGTGCGTCAGAATCTCAGCTATCACAGTCTACATTTGCTCACAGACCTCTCCGGACTATGCCAGCCATTTCGCACATTACCCTAAACTCGCAAGGCTACCGAAAGAACCTCAAGTCAGGCGTCATGTCCGGACTAACAGTACACCCATCTCATCGCCAACTAAAGCTAGCTAGAGCGGCGTTTGAGTACACGCTGAAACTTGGAATAATCCGCTCTTCCGATAGTCCTTGGTCCTCTCTACTTCAGATGGTCTCAAGGAAATCATGAGATTGGCATCCCTGTGGTGACCACCAAACACTAAACAGACTTACGGTCTCCGACAGGTAGCCCATCGCACACATGCAGGAACTCACAGCATACCTCACAGATAAGATGGCCTTCAGCAAGATCGATCTTCTTCGCGCCTAGTACCAGATAATTAAAATAGCGGCCATCAATCTCCTCAGCTTCTCCGAGTTCTTAAGAATGCTTATCGGATGTGCGACGCTGCACAGATCTGACAACGCTTCATCCACGACGCCACTCGTGGTCTACGCTTTGCCTACACATACCTCGGAGACATTCATGTAGCCAGTTCATCCGACAGAAGAGCACTTAGCTCGTCTTCAATCACTCTTTCGGCGGTTGACCCAACACAGCGTCACCGTTAGCCGGACTAATTGCGAACTGGGTAAATGCATGGTAGAATTCCTAAGCCACGTCGTCCCATCATCTGATATCAAGGTCCTTGAGGACAAGGTCCATGATATGAAAGATTGCCCAGCTCCGACTTCATTTGAGCATCACCGTCAGCTTTGTGATCTAGTCAACTACTACCAACGTTTCAAACCCCCGCTGTGCTCAGCTCATACAATCTCTGACTGATCTTCTCAGAGGAAACGAGCATAAGTTCACTTTCCCCGATACAGCACACACGCCATTCACCGAGCGTAAGGATGCTATCTCCAACATCGCTCTCCTCACTCACTTCGAACCGTCTGCTTATCTTTCTTCTACAACTGATGCTTCAGACATTGCGGTAGGAGCTATACTCCAACAACATGTTGGCGGGCAGTAGTAACTACTCGGTGTCTTCTCCACATGTCTACAAACAGCGGAATCTTGCTTCACAAAGGTTGATGGAGAAAGGCTTGCCATCTACTTAGCTATCAGTCACTTCAGACACACATTAGAAGGCGGCGCTTTCATGGTCTACACCGACCACAAGCCTCTTGTCTTCGCCTTCAACTTTTCTCTAATAAACAGTAACCACAGGAAAATAAACACCTTGACTTTGTCACGCAGTTCTCTGCTGATATACGCCATGTCTGAAATCGCCAATCTCGTCACGGACGCTCTCTCTTGCGTCAACCTCAATTTCCGCTCTTAGCCTACCATCGACCTCGCCGCCGTACCATCGGCTCAAGCCCAATATGAAGAACTCCGACGTAACCCACAGTCCACTTCACTGCATGTGCAACCCGTTCTTCTTCAAATTACAGACGCAACTAACATTTGTGATACTTCCAAATCGCGATGACGACGGTAATCCAGGGAAAGAGGTTCAGTTGTTGAGTCGGAGAGAATAGGACAGGTCCTGCAGCTCAGGAAGGGATTAGGATCCACCCCGTTGAACGTTCTCAACCGTATCACATTCGAATTTCGTACGAAGGTAGACAGCAGGTAGCCCGGATTCGAGAAGCGGGCGTACATGTGAAGTCAACAGGAGTAGGAAGAGCCCCGGGGTCAGGCGAAAGAAGGCTCTAAGTACAGAGTGACACATGCTGTAGGCCGCAGCAACCTTTCTATTGGTATCTTGATTAGATTTGTGGTCAGGGGAAATTATCACTCCAAGACCTCTCACCGGAGTGGCGTTTCGGAGCAACGAACCACCAATATGGTAGGTTCCAAATGGGCCAGATGCACCA